TTTCTTTATAAAAGATGTGTTGAAAAGAAAGATGAGGGAGAGAGAGCGGGAGGGGGTTTGGTTGGTATGGTAATTAGTAACTGGTAACTGGGAAAAGAAAAAGTGAGTCTGATAAGAAAGTGGACCCTGTTGCTGCTTCAATCTCAATCTCATCTGTTAAAACATAAGAAGATTCCCAGCTGAAGATAACAAAATTTCGTGATTATTATTGGCTTGGACCACTCTTTTGTTTCCTCATCAACCCAGAGAATTCTGCATTAAATGCAGGCCTTCTTCCATTTCACTCACTGTACGGACACCCACTTCAATATCTAGGTCCACTTCACCATCATCATTTCACTCTCCATTTCTCTTTGACCTTTTCCTCTGCAAGCCCATTATCTTCTCTTCTCTTCTTCCTCATTTTTTCCTCTACATTTCTCCATCTAAATATGCATATATTATACAACTTCGTTAGTTTGCAATTAAGGTTGTTGGTTTTCCACTTAATAGAATCGTTGTCTTTCTTTTTTTCTACTAAAACCTTCTTCTCTTACTCAGAGTTATGATTGGGATGTTTCTCTTTGCACTGTGTTACTTGAAAAGAAAGCATGGAGAAGATATATTAATTATTGTGTATTGATTGTGACCCACAACTAAATAGTTTCTACCATTTTAGATTCAATATATATAGTTTGTGAACCACGTGATATATGCTTCTTCAACTTCTACAACGTCTAATGCTTCTGCTAAGTGAAACAGTGATTCATTCTGAATGGTAGAATGATATACAAGTATATCTTTAGAAAAGTTTTGGGACAATATTTGAAGGGTAACTTACACATTAAAAGCCTAATGCTCAAACTTGAAGCAAATTTTCTAGATATATATATAATGTGTTTACCTGCGTGATATTCTCATTTACCGTAGTGAATTTTTCTAAAATATTTCTTAAAGAGAATGTGTTATTTTTGTTAGTTTTTATCGTCATGTGGGCTCCATTATGGGAGCGTTACGTACCCTTTTTATATCCCATTAACATCAAGCAAGTGTAAGTTTTTTTTATCTTATTCCTTCTTTTTTGTCTTTTCATCTATAGACTCTTTTCCTCACATCAAATGTTAGCTCTAGCCTTTCATTCCAATTTTGATCATCAACAACATAATTTTGTTATTGTTATTGATGACACACTTGCATATATTCTTTTCATGTTCTTAATTTGACTGCACTTTTGTAGTATCCTGTGTACTTTTATCTATTATGGGAGATTAGTTTTTAAGCAATAATTAAGGCTCAATTGCTTTGGTGGTTGTTATTAAAATCAGTTGCTTTTGTGTCTGTGTGTGTTTTCACCACTAATAGCACTTGTGGGGTCTTTTGAGAGATCTATAGAGAGATTTAAGAATCGATGGAAGACCTAATTCGAATATGGTAATTGGTGTTTCATTTTGATTTCCCACAATTGTCTCATACTCTTTCTTTCCATGTAATAACTTTAATTAGATTTAGTAAGTCCATGTGCCAATTCCTTTTCATCTCTTGCATGTTCTTGAAAGTCATGATTCTAGAAAAACTACCAGTAAATAAACAACTACAAATCTATATGCCTTTCTCATTTTTCTTTTTTCTGAATTTTTATCCCACTGATTGATCAGTGGATATTCTTCTTCATTGCATTGATGCTTGACATGTAAGAGCCAGTTTAACACTTCTTAAGCATGGTTCAGTTCAGATGCACTGTTAAACTGTAGCAGAACATGGTTTCTTTAGTTCACACAGTGAAATCTTTATACCTAAAATTACTACATATCCTCCTTATCTTATCCACTCAACTCCAAGCAATGAATGAGACTCCTCAAATCCAGCCATATCACTCACTCATAGCCTCTTATTTCATAAACATTTTTAACCAAAACAATATAAAAAATGCTTTAAATATTTTCATAAATTAAGCAAAAATATCTATAAATAATTAAACTGATAAACAAAACGTAAATATATAGTGGATGAATAATTTCTCAAGTTCTACAACTGAGAGGTGCTAGGGTTGTGATTCTTGGTAAGGATATAAATCTTATATACTTAGGGTTAATTTGTTCTAAATTGAAAGATGAAAAAACAATTGACATTTAAAGAAGTGATCTTTTGATACTATGAATGAGAAGAAGCAAAAGCAGAAGCAGATGTGATAACATAACAGATAGTAGTTTTGGGAGAGAAAAACTGGTGGAGATGAAAAATGAAAGTGAAAATTTATAGTTATTAAGTTTAAGACATACACATAAATACAGGCACAGTTTGTGATCCCATAATAACTGCTCTCATTATTTGTACCTAGAACATACTAGTAAATAATTATCTCCTCGTGATTTGTATTGATTTTCCCTGTCATTTAAACTTCATAACTTCACATTTAAGTCTTGTTTATCCATTTCACTTTCCCTCTTTCAACTCCAAATTTGATCGGATATCCTTCTTTTACGGCCCATGTCAATGTGATGCCAGGACAGTATCGGAGCACCAAAGCTTTATCTATGGAAAGGTCTTTTTCTTCTTCTTCTTTTTTTCATCTATCTTCCTTCTTTTCCCTTTCATTATCTATGCTAAGGTCATGTTAATTGCCCATTATTGATCTTCTTCACTAAAGTTTTATCGTATAAGGTCAATAATACCAAAGACCTTTTCAAACAGAACAAATCCTTCTGCAAAATTCCACCTGACTACTTGTGCCAAAATTTCTCACAACTTTTTTTTTTATGATTTGGTAACTTTCTATGAATGATCAATGAATAATTATTGATGTGTTGAAAAATAAAGCAGATATAATTGGAAAAAAAAAATACAAGGCTTTTTTGAACTTGGTTTGAACGTGTAGCACTCAATCATGCTTCAGTGGATTTCTTCTTTTGTATCTTTATGTTTTGGACAGTTTCTTTTGATAATAACTATCTAAAGGATTAGTACGCTGTAATGAACCCTACTGTAACTACTCCCACTCCTATACATATATCTACTTGAATTGCACATCTATTAATATTTTCTAAAACCTAATTTAAGCTGGCAGTAATATATACCAAGTAACACAAAAGAAACATGATGCAGTGGCGCCATTTATCTTTCTGAGTCTACAACTGCGGTGTGCATTGCAACAGTTTGCTGAACAAAGTTGTTAAATGAATAACCAGATAATATTTTAATCAAAAGGTAGCATGGGAATATTATACGCACGGGAAAAAGTTGTATTAGATTGGATTGTATTTAGAAGGACGACCTGTAGAATATTATCCATGTTACTAGTTTTGGCAATATATCATATATAGATGTCTCACTGCATTTCAGATATATCAAAACCTATAGTATACTATCTATGTTAACATAAACGAATGATAGACTATGATTATGCAAAAAGTTATTTTTAAAGAAAACACAACTGTCATATACAGGTACATAATTCAAATAACAATTGGGGTACATTTATAATTAAGTTTGGTGTTTTGGCTGACTGTACCTTCCTCTATTTATGGAAGTGTTTCATCATTGTATGCGTGTCTATATATATAAATATAGACCCCATTCAACCAAAAAAAAATCTAATACGACTCACAAATTTAAACGATAGTAGTTATTATCATTATGACTACTGCGTAAGTATGCAGAATTCCTCTAGTAATAGAAAATCACGGGGTGTTGGTACCTCAATTTGATGCTGACATCGAACACAAATCCTAAAAACTTTCATTTTCGACACAGTGAAAGAAAGGTTTGGTCCCAATAACAAGTCATATTTGATTGTGAAGATATGCAGGAAATTGGTGTGGCATAATGGAGACGCAAGATATAGTTAGCATGATGGTTTACCGTTTTTGTGAATTTATAGATGATGAAAAGGGTTGTGAAATGGGACTGAAGTGAAGCAGTGAGTTAATGTGAAGAAAGAAAGCAGCTGGTTATAGTTATAGAATGGGAAAAAGGCCGAGTCAATTGACAGTGCAAGCTCACCGGTTGGTAATAATTATATAGAGGAAATGCAATGTTTGTGCGTCAGGTAAAAAAGTGGAGAGGAAACTGAAACTGAGCCAAGCAATTACAACGATGCATAGACGAGAGAGAAGAAGCACATGGTCCAAGATAAAAAGCTACAGCAGCTGAGGAAACAAAAGAAATACGGCACTTTAAGCTGCTCGTATCTTTGGCCTTTCTACGGCTTTTTGTATTGGTTCTCGCGATGAAAGAGGACCACAGAAGAAAGAAGAACATAATGATAATAATAAAAATGGATTTTTACATCACAAGTAATTGGTTTGTAACCCCAAAAGCTTAGAATGGTCTCTGCATATTTGGAAAGATGCTGCTTCTCTCTGCGCCCCACTACTGTCATGGCCCTGATTCAGATGCAAGAGACGTTAAGGTGGTCATCATGAATAGAGTTTGTTTGTGTCTGAATGGTTTGAGAGAGTTGACAGGGACGACTGAGTCTGCGACTGTCATTAACCCCTCACACAGTGGCACTGAAAAACATGCTGCTTTTTATTCACATTTATAAGTCGCCAGAATAGCAGTCCAAAGGAAGGACTACACTATCTGGATTCCCTTTTCTCTCTCTTCCTCTCTCACCAGTGTATTTCTGCAGTGTGTATTCATTTCCTTTTTGAATTTCCTTTTTCTAACTTTATTTTCCTCAGTACAATCCTTTAATGCTTGTTAAGGACTCCGCTTTCTGCCCTACACCACCAACAAAGATCTACACATAGTCCAAACACATAATCCAAAACAACCAAAACTAAAGGGTGGGGAATTCAGTGCTTCTCTGACTCTCATTCATTGCAATGCACGAGAGAAAAACCTAACGAGAATGAAATCACTACATATATATATATATATATATATATACGCACATATGTACAAGTACTACTGTACACATCATCACACCCTCCACGATATTATATATATATATATACCGCTTCAAGATCATATAACTAGTAGCTACTAATTAATTAAAGAACCCAACGGTTAACTATATTACTCATCATATAATATATCTGTATTTATACCACTTTTAATTACTGCACTGATAAAATGGCACAAAATGCGAATAATTTACATTACTAAGAACATACGTTTTTCCACCACCTCGCTGGCTATTAATCCCACGTACATAACCGTAGCACTTGCCTCACAAAGGATATTAATTAAGGTAGGAAAAACAACATGATGATACGACAATAACGAAAGGCAAAGAAAAAATAAGATTGGTATGAAAAATGTAGAAGGAGAGAGAGAGAGAGGAGATGATGTCTATGAGTTAATGGGTTTGACACGATGCTTTCCAACTTGGGCAGCGTCTGTTGTTATGTAACTGAAGACGAAAGAAGTCTGGTCGGAAGGAGCAGTACACGTTACGGTTGGCGATTGGAAATGGTGCTTGCAAGCAAGGCAGGTGATCTGAAGCATAGTTGAATGGATCTGTTTGATTGCGTGGTCCTTCAAGGCGCAGGCTTTGTCCAGTTCCGCTAGCGCTTGTTGTCTTATCCTTTTGGCATTAGTGAACTCCAGTTCCGCCTGCTCCATCTGCCTCTTGGCTTGCTTCCTTGCCTCTTCCGCATACGCTTTTTCCGCCACCGCTATCCTCAGCTGCTCACGTGCCTCATCTTCAAACCTTCCTCCCAATGACTTCTCCCTCATGCACCCTTTTTCCAATGACCCTATCGATAACTGCAACTGTGCAGAGGGGTTTCCCTCTCTCTTATTGCCAGTGCCTGAAGCAGCCCCGATCATTTCAATAGGAGGGGCTGTAGAGAGCTGAAGCTCAAGGTTGGGCTGGAGCTTGTTCACTTTGTTGTCGTTGTTGGTTTGTGTCGTGGTAGTGTTGCTGAATAAGGCCGGTTCTACTACTGTTTCCGGGAGCTTCGGAATTATTACACCGATTTGCAAAGGAGCACGTGTGCTGAAATTGTTTTCGCTAGAAGGGCTTGAAGCTGTTCGAGACAAGCATGCAGCAGCTTGCACTGCCTGCGTTTCTGACCGCAACCGCCCCACGTTGCACGCGTCTTGGTGTTCAATAAAGCTCTCCACCCTACAAACAATATTGAGAGGTCACAAAGAATCATTCCGTACCTTTTGAAAAGCTCATGAGATCCTTCCTTGCAAAAGTAATAAAAAGAATCGAAAAAAAGTTGTTCATATAAAGGTTCTTGGAAAAGAAGTCAAGAGGTGGGAGAGATGTTTCAGTTTCCACTAAAAGAAGACAACAAACTGATGTCATTTTGAGGCAGCTTGTTCTCAGCTGGTATTCAATACAAGGTTCTTGAAGAAATACAGTACAATGTCGCAAAGGTTTAATGAGAGAAGGTGCGTAAAAAGGAATGGCGGAAGGTGTTGATGAAAATATATATCTGTGAGCTTTGGGAACCGTGTGTTCCCAGCTGTCAAGAAACAGCTAGGTTGAAGACTTGTTTAAGGTTCCATCAGTCAAATACTAGTAAACGTTAATTTATTTATATATTTATGATTCTCTTTTGCTTCCCCCATAGATGGCTTTATTTCGATTCCAAAAAATACATCTGGCCTTTTGATAAAGTCAAAAGGCGAATAAAATATAAGAGGAGGATAGAGATGTGTATTAAGTTAATGGAAGATTTGGATGAGGAGGGAAAGAAAAAGGTGGCGTTGTTGTGTAGATGGATATACCTTGAGAAAACGCGGCCACAATCGCAAGAGTGGCCTCGGGTGCCACACGTTTTAAGATGAGCTTTGTAATCAGACTGCACTGCGTAGCCTTTGGAGCATCTCTCGCAGACCCATTGCTTGTGACTGCTGTGTTTTCTTCTGAAGTGCTTCTTTATGCCGACAAGATCACCCAGAGCGTGGCAAGGGTCATGGTGCAAGCAAGTAGGCTCCGGGCAAACGAAGACTCGCTTCTTCACCAGTGGCGTCTCCCTCTTCAAGAGCTTCCAGGGCACCTTGTGGCGGCGCCGGTGCATCTGAAGGTTCTGGTCCCGCTGGAATCCCTGGTTGCAGATCTCACAGACGAAACGATCTGATTCAAGCAAGGTCTTGGGTGAGAGGGACACGACTTCTGCATCTGGATCTGTGTTGAGTTTAATTCACCCGAACCCATCATCAAACGAATGAATTAATGAATTCTCCCATCATTAAACATAACTTTAATTACTCTTGGAGAATAGGAATAGATTCATGTGATGGGAGTAAATAACAATCAGTAAAAGAATCTAATTAAGAAAAAAAAGGAGATTAGATTAGAAGTTATAGAAGTTAGAAGTAATCGTGCACCTGGTGTTCCTGCAGGCCTTCTCTTTCTTTTATTAGTGGGAGTGGTAGCATTCTGGGCAAAGGAAAAGGGCTGGGAAGTGGGAAGAGAGGAGGGAGATGAGGTTTTGAGCAACGTGTCAATCCTTACAAGGGAGGCCATTTGTATGATAATAGGAAGATAGAATTAAGAGAAGGAGAGGTTAAGGAATAAGAGAGAAGGTGATGAAGAAGCTAAGAGAAAAGAGGAAGGGAAAAGCTTTATTTATTTTTTCCTCTTTCGGTTACCAGACTCAGCTTTCTTTTAACTTGCTTTTAAACTTTGAGCTTTTTCCAACAGCTTTCTCTCTCTATCTCTGGGTTTCTCTCTTGCTCGTATATTGAACAGGGATAGCTAATAAAGTTTGAAAAAGAGACAGAGAAATGGGTCCAGAAGAAAAACATCCCCACAAACACACAGTAAAATTTTTGTTGCTTTGGTTTGCATGCATAAATAGAGAGGCGAAGCCCCCAAATACACACGTAAGCTTCCTATTTTTGTCACACTCCCCTCAACATCCATCTCATTCTCACGCACTACTACTTAGCCTTCTTATTTCTTCTGTGTCTTAGAACTAGTTAGAAACTCATAAGAGAGAGGGCAGATACATGTTTATAGACCATTGTACCCACACACACCATTTCTAATTAATTTCACTTCAGCAGGCACCTTTTTCAAAAGCGATAATGAGGATGTGAAGTCACCCTCAAGGGCATTCAAGTCATCATCTTTTTTCTGTCCAACGTGTTTTTGCTTTTTGGTAAACCAGGGGCATCACCTTACTTAACAGTTGCAAGTAAAAACTGCCAACATTGTCTTTTGTACTTGAGCTTCGTAATCTTCACAATATTGTTCATAGGCCCCCAACACCTATACTGTTCTGCATTAATCATCATTTTACCTCGACTTCAACAAGAGACCCACTACTGTTTTTCTCACCAGAATCTATGGTAATTTATGCAGGTAGGGCAAATATCACCTTTACCACCCAAATCTTTAAGCTTTCTGCCTGAAAAGAAGAAAAAGAAAGAGTATATCCACAAATACTGAACCAAGATTCATGCATAAACACTTCGATTTTATTTTATTTTATTTTATAGATATTAAAATTCCTTTTCAAATTTCTCATTGAGTTTGTTTGTGTGAATTTGTAAACCATATTTTTCCACCTCTAAGATATCGTGATATATAATATATTTATTGTCATGATTTTAACTATTGATTTTGAATTAATAAATGAGGAAGATGACAGTGTGAACTTCAAGGATTGAATCCATTTTAATGGCTTTCGTTTTACATGTTTAACGTGAAATTAACACGAAGGCTATGTGATTAGCTTTTTAATTTCAAAGAAGATCATGAATTAACTTTCTTTTACAAGTGCCTACATTCAAATTTTGGAAACATCGAGAATGATTAGTGGCGTTCACTAACGAACCCATTAAAAAGTTCTGAAAATCAATAATAAATTAATCAATTTATATCTGTTTTTCATAATTAAGCCTTGGATTCAAATTGTTTAACATTTTGGAACCAAGAAAATTAGAATTAAATTAATTATTTAAATACTATTATATTAGTTATTAATTTCAGTCACATATAAGAGGAATATATATATAAAACTATAATGTATGTATCTAATTTGATTCATGTTAAAAATATGATTACGTCACATTATCAGACACAAATTATCTATTTACTTCCATTTAGATACTCACACTCGTATCTTTATCAGGAAATAAGTACATCTGTTGTATTCTCGTATCTTTCCATTTAAGATTTTAAATACTATAATTAAATAATTTTCTTAAAAAGAATAAAAGTTACAGTAAAAATATATGATATTAAGAAAAAGTAGATTGAGAAAATTATTTAATTATAGTATTTAAAATGATGAATAAGATGGGATTTGAATTGTTACGTAAATGGTGAATAATGGTAGCTGTATGTGTTTAATAATTTGATTGATGAAGGGTGTAAGTGGGGCCCATTCACTATTCGGCGATGCTTATTTGTCCTTTATGTATTTGTTTGTATTTGTAGGCCTGTATTGTACCATGCAGACATAACAAAATACACTCTCTCTCCCATTATGGAAATCTTGAATCTTACTTCTTATGATGCAATGCAAATATTCCATTCCTCTTACGCTCTTAATAATATATTACAATATTTAATGTGTATATCATCAAATATAAGAGAAATATATATGACAGTAACTTCTCACCCAAGGAAACACTCCTATACGCAAAATCATTTTCCTATTATTCCATCCATCAAACTATTTTCTATCCCTCAAATTTAATACTCTTTTAGATTAGGCTAAGATCTTCTAGAAAAAGGGTAAGCTCAAGTTATTTTCATCTCGTCTTACGCTAACATCGTCTTTGTGTGTCTTTAAAACCATCACCATAATCACACAATTTTAGTTTAGATCATAATCACCCAACTGAAAACCGATTCACCAAGTCTTCCTATTATTGATTAACAGAAACAACTAATCATATAAGATTACTTTTGCAAGGATTAAACTAAATTTATCCTTCCATCTATACATTTGATAAGAGATAATACTCTTACTCTCAAAAAGATATATTAATTCGATTATTATTTAATAATATAAAATATCTACAAAGTAACAACTCAGTTCTCGAAGATTTTATATCTTATTTTAGAGACTAAATTCGATACATTTTTGTTTAAAATTAAGTTAAAGACATGCATGATTGATATTAAGGTAGTTCACACAATTTAGTGAGGTTTCATTTAGAAATAGTTTAATTAGAATATTAGAAATAGTTCAAACAAAGAAAGTTTAACACGTAAATTTTATTTATTTATTTTCTCTTTTTTTTTTCTTTTGCTTCTCGTTATGCTCTTTTTATTACACTTTTATTATTTAATCCAAATATAGTATAAATGAAGATGGGTCAAGTTAAAATCATTTTAATTAAGCATATATGAAAAATACTAATTCAAATATAGGTAGGGTAAACTAATATTATTTGTGGCCAAAATAAAATTATATTAGTCAAAATCTAGCTGATATATTTAAATAATTGAAAAACTTACTTTTGAAACAGTGACATGTAACATAATCTCTTTTAAGCCTTTATCCAACCTCTTTGGTCAGCGTGTTGTAGCACTAAAACAATAGGGTTTCCATGCTCCTGCGGTTCTCCACCTCTGCTTTCACTTGTTTGTTCTTATTCGTCTGTCGTTGCGTTACAATCTTTTAACTCTTCTCTCTTCCTTTTTGAGAAAATATAGTCATATCAATAGTAGTTTTAAAAGAGTTATTTCTAATTCCCATCTTCCACTATTTTTAATCTAATGATCAAAGATGAGTTTTCACTGTAATTGTTAGATAAAAAGAAAATAAAGATTGGATGGAGAGGCAGGCGTCTACTTATTTTAAACACATCTCATACTTCATTTTCTTTTAATTTGATGGTCAAAGATTAATAGCTGCTTAAAATAATGTGTTATATTAAAATAAAGATTATAGTAAGAAATAACATTGTAAAATCATTTTGAAAGTAATTTGATATTTGCTCTTCTTTAAGGCAGGACAAGTTACTCTTAAATATGAGTTTTGTTTGCACAGTTAAATTAAAAGAAAATAAAGGTCAGTACTAAGAAAAAGCCTTTAAATTACACTCTTAAAATTGCCGAGGAAAATTAGTTTTTAGGATCATGGTAGGAACTTAAAGGTTCACAAACATCATTTAAAGGCTTTATATGATGAAAATGTGTTTATATGAAATACTAAATAATATTTAAACGAGTTCTCTCTTTATTGATATTAAATTAAGATTATAATGAACCTTTCATGTCTTCACAAAAGGTTTTTCTTTTTCATACAAGCTTTCTAATTCCATTTAGTTGAACCCTTTCGTTCTTATTCTCCTATCTAAAGAACAATGCTAACGATACACTCTTTAGTACATCAATACCTTTGTTACAAGCAGAAAGATATAGATGTGCAGGAAGAAACTGCTCGGAAGAAACTGCTCTTGTATCAATCAATACCTTTATATATTGTCTACCTAATCCACATAAATATTTTTTGTATTTTACATAAATTGTTATTATTTACTAAAAGAAAACGCTCGTGTGCATACTTTTTCCAGTCACTTTGGAGTCAGCACCGGAACAAGATGCCAATTGCAGTGCAGAGTTACGGAAGCAAACAGTTTGGTTTTCAAATCTTCGGGCTCGTATCTTTATACTTTATGATTTCATAAACTGAAGTTTTTATTCAAGCAGAAAGAGAAAGTAGCACCACGCAGAACAAAATCGATTAGTCCCTCTCAACTATTTATGCACAAATACTAATACCAGTTATTTACAACTTTTGAAAAGTGGAGGTTGTATTGCCCTAAACATGTAGTTCCTCCGACCGCTTCAACGTGATCTAAAAAAAGGAGTACTAAAATAAATCCGTGAAAGGAAAGTCCTTAGCTATTATTCATCGGTAACGTCAGAAGGCAACCGATATGTGCGGATGGCTCGTATCTGAAGCAAAAGCAGAGTGGAAATAAGAAAACCAGTTAGTATAGTAATAATAATTCTTTCACATAAACTCAGTATCGCCTATATATTTCTACAGAAAAATTTGAAATTCAAAAGGCGCACATTTTCTTCAATTAAAACTAAAACAAAAGCATCCATGGATGACAGACACTGGCTCTACAAATGGAATGGATAGTTATGCCAGATTGTCAATGCCGTCTTTTGAACCAAAAACCAGCAATAATCTAATTTTTAGCGGTAATTTAAAAAAATATGTATATAAATTAAAGATCACAAGTGCTCTTAAATAAAATAACCAAATATAGGCATAGCATAAAGTTAATCGGGCCAAGCTTAAAACGGAAGAAGAATAGGACATATATCTTACCTGAGCCAAAGCATAAATTGTTCGTAAGATTCTAGCATAATCTGTTCCAAGCATCTGAATGACAACATCGGCCAAAAATGTTCCCCAAATCCTGTTCCACAAGCCAAATAAAATGTACAGAAATACTCGCTAATTGTGCCTCGTAGCGTACCCAAATCAGAAAGAAAACAGAATCATGGAACAAGGTAATGGAAATCCAAACATTGAGCAATGTTCTTATCGAATGGATCATGCCCATCATTGTCCCAATATTTGGGTTTACACAAGGCAGTGCAAATCTACCAACTAAGGTCTTTTAAACCAATAGGCCAAGCTGAAGTCATGGACAAACAAATTTTGCCATTTGAAAACTTATGAAGCAGATTGGTGCATTTGCTGTCTTCACCATGTTTGTCAACCTCCCAGCGGAAGGCAGTGGAAAAAGCTAAAAGGGAGAATGCATATTTTATACATTTTCAGAATTCAACCCAGGGAATAAGGT